ATTGGTGTTTGGGTGGAATTCATAATCTTGTAGAAAGAAAACTATAATGTACATGATATTGTAAAGTATAAAAGTAAAAAAAAAATCTCCATAAAAATCATATAATAAAGATTAAGTTGTGTGAGTTTCTAAACATTAAATGCATATCTCTTACAGTAACAAATACTGTCCCTCATTAGACTTTACTATAAAACTAACTGTATATATATCAAGTGTTCAAAATGAGCACCCATATGTATAGCTTAAATATTCTACCTTTTCATTTTTACCAAAGGTTATTTTATGAGCAATTTACATACAAACACATAGAAAATAATAATTTCACATATTGATTAGAATATTCCTCTAGCAGAATACCTATAGTATATGTGCTAACTGAACAAACTAGAAAAATCTGGTCTAAGGTATATAAAGCCAGTAAAAAAATATATATCAATATTCACTCATCATGGCCTCTATGCTTTTGATTACCTTACAACTGGTAAATTTTATTAAACAAAAATAGTAAGTTATACCTAACTTCAACCTAAGATAGACAGAAAAGAACAAATAATTTAGTAAACATGAGTTACTTCCCCTTAAAATAGAGAAAACCTGAAACCCAAAAGAACGCCCTAAACATCAAAATTAAGAAATGTTGCAGGCTCAGTTTTATTAAGCCATGCAAATTCATGGTAAAGTATTCATAAAAAATAGATGGCCATGTGACAGCAGTTTTTGCAGAAAATCGGATAGCTTTCAAAATCCGGATACTGGTACACCTTGTAAAAACAACCATTCTGTGCAACAGATAAACGTAATATATAAAATTAATAGGATAATCGTTTATAACAGTCCATTACCTATCCTTATACTAATTGGCAGGTGAACTTTCTTCATGTAGGAAAATTTTGAAAATATATGAATGAATGAACGAATGGATAACGGCATCAATGTAGACCACAACGATATTCGAAATCCGGGTTTGAGTATGCGAATTTCTCAAGTGTGTCGAAAGGATGTGCGGAATTGTGTAAATATATCGCGTGTTGATAAAAATACTGTTTAGATTCTACAAATGTATATGATTTGAAAGGAAAATGTTTCTATGTAACTTTTCACGGAAATGGGCTGTACAATGATTGCGTTAAAAGCCAATAAAATGTCGGCTGTAGAAATCGAAAGGAATTTTGTCACGTGACTTTTGCCCATGCTACCGAAAACTACCCATCACAATATCACGGCGTTGAGACGCCGTGAAATAAGAGTTATCAACATGAAACTTTGTAGGTAGATAGATCTTATTGAGTAGGTTTCCAGTGCACAAGAACCGTAACTCTGTCGTGCCTATTTTTGCCCTTTGTTTATTTTTACACTTTGAACTTTGTCCGGGACATAACTCTAAAAGTATAAGAGATATCAACATGAAACTTTGTAGGTAGATAGATCTTATTGAGTTAAAGCGCATTGTTAAAGAACCATAACTCTGTCTTGCTTAACTTTGGAGTTATTGCCCTTTGTTCATTTTGACACTTTGAACTTTGACTGGGACATTACTGTAAAATTATATACGAGATATTAACATGTGTAACAGTCATGACGAGTTACTGACCTTTAATACAGGAACGCCATTTTCAGGTTAACATACGTAAACAATACGTTGTACTATACTTTTTTGATAGTTTGCCATTATTCTGTTGTAAATAATAATGCGAGTATTTCTTTGGTCTAATTTTAATGAAATGCATAGATAGTTTCTACTACAATGTTTTAATTGAAATTAGTTGTAATGCAGACTGTATGATCTATATAACATTATAAGCAGGTGCTCGTGTCTGTATAATTGTATTGTAAGTTGATTAGCCAATCATAAATAGCCGTAAGAGGGCGTTGTTGTGCAAAGCACATATAAGCATAGGTATTCAAGGTGAGTTTGGTTTTTGTTGGTGGAAGTCAGATTGTCAACATCTAATCTTGGAACTTTGAAGTTGTACCTGCTATATATTGTCTGTAATCCGTGTACTCTATGGTTTTTATATAGTAGAAAGTAAACCGGGTTGCAGGATATTTGTTGGATAATTGTTTGGAGATAAATAAAATAAAACAGAAGCATAGAAAATACAACCATAGTATAATAAGGAGGCATCGAGATGTTATATGTAAGAAAGGCATTGAGACTAAGAAAGTCTATGATTGGGATTGTTATCAAATATATCCATAGTGTGTATTGTTTATTTAATATTTGTTAAATTTAGGTTAATTGATTTATATTCCAATCATTTTGAAATCATTGGTCTTTAATTTTTTAAGTAGGGAAACCTAGAGGAAAACTATAAATGTAATATATTGAGAACAAATATGTATATTTAAGCTCGGTACACGTTACACATGAAACTGTGTAGGTGGATAGGTATCATTTGGTAGAAGTGCAGTGCTAAAGAACCTAAACACAGCCTTCCCTAATTTTGGAGTTATTGCCCTTTGTTCATTTTTACACTTTGAATTTTACCCGAAACTGTAAAAGATATCATCACGAAACTTTATAGATAGATAGATCTCATTAAATAGAAGTGCAGTGCAAAAAGCCATAACTCTGTCTTGCCTAATTTTGGAGTTTTTGCCCTTTGTTCATTTTTTTATATTTTCCTGTGTCCAAAACCTTCTTTGTTTTTTTTTAATTTATTTTCAACTCTTAGTATCTTTCACATACTTTTTTCATTGAAGTCACTCTCTTTGATAAGTCAAACTATTTGATTCGTATTCATAATTATAGTGAATAGATCGATATATGCAAAATTGCGATCTTACCTGCAAGTTGGCGTTTGCAGCACAATGGAAGGAGTTAGCTGTATGGAATTATTTTCCTATTATAAGTCAGTTTATTATTTCTATGTTAGTAACATTCATTCATCTTATATTCATTGCAAATTGTGTAGAATAGCTTGGGCCCTATGAATCAGATCTTCTCAGCGAGCCATTACATACGTCTATCGTCACAAACCGAACTGAACTTTTGTTTACTTGACCTTTAAAAAGAATACATGTATGTACAATATATATAGAAATTTTTTTTCTACTGTATCGTTTGATTGTGCATAGAAATAAATTGAACAATGACATAGTTCTTTATTATACGTAGACTACGTAGTCTTATCTATATATATATACATGAAACAGAGATAAATGTTACAACGAGATCAATGTAAGGCTATGAAAAGACACGGCATGTCCCAATTCTGTTATTTTAGCCGACTTTAGATCATGTGTAGATAACGAGTTTTCGAGTCTTTTTATACCAACAAGTTTTTTATTTCCGTGAGGCATTTAACTTCGTAATGACTTAACTTTAATAATTCGAATGGAAATTGAAAGAGTAGAAATGAGAAAAACAGCTGTTAAAGACAATATTTATTGTCTTTAACATTGACATAATACGCATTTGAAAATGATAAAGTGTCCTAAATGATAGCGCGATACAAATTTTAGTTGTGAATACGGCAACTTATTGTTACACTAAAATATTCAAGCTGTTGTTTTTGTACTATCGTCCTACAGATCATTTTAAAGCAATATTTTCCTGGATTAAATCTCATTTTAAGACATGATGAAACAAGAGAAAAAGAAAAAGAACAAACAGTTTAAAAAAGGAAATAAAACCCATCTTTATTACACCAGAGACACCTTGTTATGTTAAGTTTTTCTATAAGTAAAACAAAAAAGTTGCTGTTTATCTGCTTCTGGGAGATCACCCCCTTCATACTTCAATACAGCAGGTGTCAACTTCAGTGTTACAGCTGTAAAATGTTTCCCCGTTAAACACTTCGGTGTTTCGGTCCTTCGGGATCGAACATTGGTTGTCAGTGCATTTAGTGTTAAAGATTGAATACAGTTTATTCCGGCGGGGAGGGGGAGGGGGCGTGATTGTTACACTTTACATTATCTCTCGTGAACAGACTAGACAATTTTCATATTATATTTTTGTTTTCATTGCTTTCGGGGTATCACCTCTTTCTTAAAATTATTTTACGTGTGGATCATAGTAGTGGATCTCTCACGAGTTTATTTTTAAAAAATGATCACATACGTAAGTTTAATTAAATATTTTTAAGTAGTAAAAATCAAACCCTAAAGAACGCCCAAAACGACAAAGTTGAAAATGTTGCAGGCTCTTTTTGATTGAGTTTGTTCATGGACGGTACTAGAAAACGGAAATTACCATCCACACCCCCCTCACCCACCACCACGAGCATTTAAACATGAAAATGTTTTTTTGTTTTTTTTTTTACTTTACAAACATCCGCAGATGTGTTCTTACGGCGGTTATCATGGACTATACAATGTGACACTTTCGGGCCATTCCATAAAAAGCGCGAATGGTCCCGTACTAATAGAAAGCCTATGCCCTTAACGAGAACACATAGGACGAAACTAAACAAAACGAAATTTTAAACGGGAATGTCTAGTACGATTATCTAAATACCATCACGAAATTCATGAAATTCCTAACAACAGCTTGTTTTGGCGTTTTACTTTTTACTTCTATTTTTGTTAGCTTATAATTATATTACATGGAAAGTCGTCAATTAATTTTTGACAATCATTTTGATAAGTAAATATTTTCAGGGCAAATTAACTAACTTTCCCTTTATGTTTATCGAAAAATGTATCACTTAATTGTCATTCATCTTTATCTGACAGTCATCATTATAAAATGAACGATTTATGAAATATAAATATGAACAAATACTGTTTGATACGTATTTGTCCGCATATTTATCATAATCATTTATATAAAAAATGGATTGTAAAACGTACACGGTAACCAAAATGTGTTGGTTAGCCTCCCAAAAGCGCATAAATATATCAACGACTATAACCAAACTTTCTTCGTTGAATCTGTCTTCCTACTTTTGTAACTATTGCGAAATCACTTATATTCGTGGCATGAAATTTCGTGGTTTTATCAAAACGTGTATTTTCGTTTAAATTCGTGGATTTCCATTTTTCTTGTAAAATAACACGAAAATTCGTGCCCACGAATAATAATGACTTTACAGTACCCCGATTTATCGAATACCTTAGTTGCGATATAAATTTACAACGGGGAATCATTATTTGCTTAACCATCGGAGATTTATAAGTGTCCAAGGAAATTTAGGTAAGACTTCTTTTTTTTAACTATATTGCATTGATTTTTTAAATTAAATTTCAATATTTTCTATTTGAGTTTTTGCATTTTCAGTTCATTTCTTTTTATTATTTAATTATGTTTTTTACTGATAAGTAGTGTTTGGAACAAAAAAGTTTTGTGTTAAGAAAGCATTAAAGTAAATTTATCGTATTCAAAACCTTTTTACAAATTATCAAGACGATTTCTTTAGAGAACGATTCAGCCTTTAAACTTATAACATAAAACATTGAATAAAAAAACGATAACAATAAGGAAAAAAAAGTAAAGAGGGTTAAGTGTCCGCCTTGCCGATAATCCAAGCGAGGTATTGTTCTATGCCAATGTGAGAAAATAACGGCATTGTTATTGCCCTAGATGAGATAGTAACCGATGGGGCAGTGTCCTAAGAATATGTCGGGAATTTAGCAAAGGTAAGAAAAAACAGCTAAATGATTTGTTTAAAGTGAGAAAATAATTGGAAGGGTCAGAAAAAAAACGTATGGGAAATTGTCTTAAGTGAGATAATAACGGAAGATGAGAAAATAGCGGGGCCCGGGGTAATTCTCAAATGTGAGAAAATAACCGCTGGAGACATTGTCCGGGACGAGAAAATAACGGAAGGGGAATTGTCCGAGGTCAGAAAATAATGTATGATGAATGGTCTGAATTGAGAAAAAAACGACAAGGGAATTGTCAGAGATGAGAATGAAGAACAGGGTGGGGGGTGGGTATTGTCAGGGATGGAAATTTTAATCTTAATTTTTAAAATAACCATCACTTGTTAAGAGACCATCTCTACATAGTTTGTCATACTGACTGCAAGATTTAGTTATTGCCAAAATGTGTTCGAAAGCATTGGCAAAAAAAAATATTTTAACCTATATTATTTGTTTTAGTTTTCGTTTGACTAGATCTACTATCTACACAAAAAAAGAAAAATTCGTCAAAATTGTAAATAAATACTATTACAATAAATGCGAACTCGAAAAATTTACCGCCCATAACGAATACTTTTTCTTGCCCAATTTACCTTTTTGTGGGAGTGTGGAACCACTCTGAAAATATAAAAAAAATAACAATTTTAGAATATTATAAGAGAACATTAAACCTTTTTGTCCATTCTTTCTTTTCAGTGTACTGGTGACCTTTGATGCACTGGTGGTCTTCGATTTTTTATCCAGGATATTGAAATATTAGATAACTGGTAAATTAATATAGTAAGTATCCTTTTAATTATTTTTCGATGGTTTAAGGCACCTTCTAGCTCTATTGTTCATCTCCCGCTGATTGCAATTTTACAAGCCAAACATTTTTAACTTCACGTATTTGAATGAGATCCCCGCACATGTATATGATAGAAAGAAAAACCTGAATGTCAGGCTTAAGTACAGGAAGTGGTTTGAAGTCATGTACAAACCCGCAACAATTGGACATGAATTGCTTGAAAGTTGAAAATATTGTCCAAAGATATTTAAACCGTTTGAAAATTTGACTCGCAGTGAAAAAAACACATCACAAGTTGGTATTTCATTGAAAATAGTCAGTCAATAAATTTTGTAGATAACTAAGTATGACTTAGTATTTTTGCCCTTGACAGTTCGAAAAGTTGCCTTTTTATGTCATTGTTTCCTCTTTCATATGCCTCAGTAATATTCCCACGCTTAACAATATTATTCGGGGACATTAAATCAATATGAATAAAAATTTAAGTTAAAATGTAAAAGTAATCAAGTTTCTAAAAGGAAACATGATTTAAGGCCTTTTATAAAACACCTGCTTTACATTTGTTTCCATCGCGCACGAATAGAATGTAAATCATCTGCAACAAGCCATGCTTGAATAAAAGTGAGTGTAGCATGAGTGTTATTGTGAGGGGCCGGACCAATTGAAAATCCATGATTCCATTCGGACCTGTTTCCCAACCTCGTAAGAAAATGGTTATTCGAGTAAAAAAATAAATAGTGCTTTAAGGTGACAACGGAGTCAATTATCACTGAAAAAACCTAAAATGAGATTTTTTGCTTAGTAGATTTATCAACCATTTCTGAATACATTCGTGATTTAATTTTGGAAGCAGTTAGTCCAAAAAATGTGTTTTTAAACGGTACCTGTACGATTTTTATCTGCTATTCGCGTAACCTGTCAATTATCGATAACGCTCCGCCCCCTGTTGAGGCATCAATGAGGGAAATCGGTAGTTCCATATATCCGTGAATTACCGGTCCATACTGGTCCATACCACTCGTAATTCATGTATCGTACAAATACCGTACATTTTTTATGAATATCGTCTACCTTTTATTTAGCAATTTTTTATTAAATAATAAATTGTCGGCCAATGTACGTAAAATAATGTATAAACCATAAACAATTAAGCATAGCGGCAAATCGCACGACCACGGGGTTGTTTAAAATTATGGTTGCTAAAATATCAATAATGTGTGAAAATAATTTGTCTGTCCCGTTAATCTGATAGATATTACATTGAGTTTATGGATTTTTGAACGGATTCAATGGCTTGCTTTACATTCAACCTCGTTTTCTAACAATGTCAAGTAAAACAACAACAAAAACAGACAACTTTTTTATGTGAACGCCTATATGACTTGCGGTACGGTGTCCCTGACAAATTTCTAAACCATTTTAGATTGTTTAAGGATGATTATTTCTCTATGAATCAATAAAAAAAAATATATATATATATTATCAGTGTATGCTTTGAATAAATTGTTCGCCAGTAAATTGAACACAGTACTAATAAACCTGGGACAAAGTATGGAATTATTGTATACCCCAGTAGAAACTGGATCTCTATGCCGTGCGTAAATGATTTTCATGATAATAGATGTCAAGAAGGTCAGATCATAATTATCGAGTGATACCTTTTATTTCTATTAATATATGTCAAGCATTTATATCAATTTGGAGGAAAAAATATATTTCTATTTAAATATGTCAAGCATTTATATCAATTTGGAGGAAAAAATATATAATATCCCGTTCTAATTTGTACATCTACCATGGACTTTAAAAGACCGTCAGAAGCCAATTTTTTCGTTATTTTAATTTATATTTTAACGGAAATTCATACACGAATACACAGACAGAGTGACACTGGTATAATATAATAATAATGCTGATGATAATAATAATAATCTTCAAACGTGAAACGATTAAATACCCCGCTAACGGTGCGCAAATACGTTCCATCCCCCCCACCGAGTGCCTCAAATTTTACCGACAGTCAAGTGATATGTGAGACCGATACCAGACGAAAAGTAAATCACGTTAAGATTTGAAGAAATTTCTGTTATAAACTGATATTAATCAGCAAATTTTTAATTGGTCAGATGACACTGGGTCATAAAATGTTGTTAGAGTATGTTACCGCAACTTGTGACCTTCTCTGGTGCGATATTTGTGTATTATGCAATTATTTAGCGTGAAACGTAGGGGTCCGAGAGAGAACAGCCGATTTATGACACTTCGTTTGATGCGGGTCGGACTAACTTTGAATCGGCATAACTTTTTTAATAATCAAGCATTTAACATGCGGTTTAAAGCACATGAAAGGGAATTTATTTACGGAGGGAACCGTGTCAGGGATTTTTGTTTGCTCAATCAGCGACTTAATTATCTTTAATTACGTAATATGTATGGTGAAAAAAGTCGTATAAAATGTTTGACGTTACGTAATATTTTTTTGAGAAAAGATAGAAAAAATTTGAGACACGGTTCCCCAGATATTATAAGTATGTTTATTTTCCAAAAGTTTGATGACAAAAAAATAAAAAATGACTTTGATATGACGATTTAAAATTTTAGGATTTTTATTAAAAATCAATCATTTACAAAGGCATTTTTTTCAAATATGTTATTTTTTATGATGATCAACGACATTTAATGCACAAAGATTAAATAAATAATAATTATTACTAAAATAAGTTGGTTTAAATGACATTTATGTGAGTACCACGGAAAGTGTCTGTTGTCACCTTAAGTTCTTTGTTTATGTGTAAGATAATATAGTCTCCACGTTGTATCACTTATTATAACCAGTTTAAACCTACGCAAAAATATTTCAACTTTTATGTTTATTTAAAGCTGTATGACATGTCAACAAATACCACTTGAATTTGATCGTCACGCTAAGATTTTATATCATTTGGCAAATTTACAAGTTTCGCCAAGAGCGGTGTTCGATTAAGGTTTCGGGCAACTCTTTTTAATGCATATTTTCTTCTTTCACTGTAGTTATCTTCATAACAAGAAGAAGAAAAAACGCATTTATTTTTTTATTTTCCCTGATTTATACAATGATAAACATACATTTTGGAATTCTAAAGAGTAAGAACAATTTACCTGATTGAGGTCGCCGGGGATCGAACTTTGTATGAAATTTTGAAATACATGATGGCAGGCTGCGGCCATTTCAAAACCGCTAACAATTTTATTGTTTTATCCCAAAATGTCGCGTTAAATTTACAAACCCGCGAGATTTTCTGTCGAAAACGTACAAAATGTCACGTGAACGTTGCATTAAACTCGGTGTTCATAAGAGTTGTTGGATACAGAAAGGAATAGCGACATTTTTGCAAGTGTTGTAGAAAGTCTACAAAACGTCGTGAGAAAAAGTTAAAGGCAGTGACATTTTGTTCCTCAACAACTGTATCATAAAATAACGCGGCCGCTTATAGCAATTTTCAGCCAAGACTTTTTGCACAGAGATTTTTTCCGGCATAAAAAGTCGTGGCTTAATACTCAAACTCGACTTTTTATTACTCAAAACAAAATATCGCGGATTATAATGCTTGCAATAGGCTACTTAAACTAGGCATATGTTTGTGTGGTTTAAACTACAATCTCGCGGTTTCCTTCATAAAACTCGACATTTTACGACAGAAGTATGACAGAGAAACTCGCGAGTTTCTAAAAGCCGCGGCATTCTATACGATTTCGATATAAAATCTCGCGGATTTAAAAGTTGCCCGCGACATTTTATCAACTGCTGGTTAAATTCCACGCGGCTTTATAATATACGCTACCGGCAACTATAGGAATGGACTAAATACGGGCGGGCGTTATAAATTTTCATGACACGTTCGCCGATTTTTGCAACAAGTTAGCTCGTCCTTCCCTTGATGAAGAAGACCTGTCGTGTAATTTATCGACGCCCCTATTTCAAAGTTCAAGGTCACACTTAGAGTTTAGAGAAAACAAAAACCTGCACTTTGTACAATAAAGTATCTAAACGATAATAACCCTCTTTTGAGACATCTACACTATCAAAGTTTTTCATACCTTCATAGTCCATGTGATTTCTCGCAAACAGCAAATAACTTTCCCGCCCCATCAATGACAGTTTTCGAGAGTGTAAATACTTTGCACCTGACAAAAGACCTATTTGTAGGGAACGAACAGGTTAGTTGTCGAACTTGGTTTTGCAGGCCACACAATATGTTGATACAGCATGATGATAATAATATATTATAATAAAGCTACACAATTTGCATATAGAAAATAAACCAAAAGTGCATTGTGAAATGTGTTTTTTTATTTTTTGTTCATGTACAGTCATTGAAAATAATGCCCTTCTCCGCTTCGGTTCGAATCCGGCAATGGACTTTGGATTCTTCTATGTGCGGAAGGTAACCATTATGTTTACGGAATGTCGGTGATTCAACTTAGTTGCCCGCTCTTGCTTAAGATATCGAAGGTATACCTGAGGTATTCTTCCTCCGGAGTAGTGGGAAAATCGGCATTAATCCCTTACGATGTCGATATTACTTAAACTATAATAAGACAAATGTTATGAATTATAATCATATTAAGTTATTGGGTATTTTAGATCATAAAATAGTGACATTTGATACAGTTTTTTTCACGCTTTGATAGGTATTGTCGATCTTACTATTATACTGTTTGTGTAACTGGATAAGATATTTTATTCATTCAATATATGTCACAGTATTATGTTTCAAAATAAGTTGAAAATCCAGGCTTTTGGATGGTAACTCGAATGGTGCGATTATTTTGTACCCTTACATGAAGGACATTTTAAAATTAACAATTTTATTTGTCCTACATATATATATAAATTTTTAGTCTGAAAAATGGTCTGAAATTCAGTAACATAGTTAAAGGCAGTTCCTTTCTTTTAATTTATTATAATTCAAGGGAATCTACCATTTCATGTTTCCAATACCTCTTTCTTTCATTTTGTGAAACGTATCAAAATCAATGGCTAAATAGGACACATAAGTATCAGTTAAGCCACTACACCTAAAATATTGAAATAAATGTGTGATTTTTTCGCATAAATTTAAGGATCTATCACCAGTGGACTTTTTCTACATGTATACGATTCGTAGACAGTCCTATTTCAAGAAGAATTAAGTGATGGATCGAATTTTCACAATACCAGGTAAACAGTATTCCTGACAGGTCGCCAGTTATTGCCCACAACTTTTGGTTGTTTTCTTTCTATAATATTCTATAAAAAATTTTGAACTTTGAATAATTTGAGGATATTTTCAGAAATCGAATTTGAACATAGCCTATATTTTAGGCTTCGTACCCTGCTCCAAAGTCAAATTTTGTAAGTCAGTGATGCATTGCTCATATATTTTTGAACAAGTTCAGTATTTTTTATTACAAAATGATGTTTAATGAAGCCGAAAATTATGCAGTTTTTGGATTAAATAGGAAAACTTTTATGAAATCGATTTGGATTAATTACTTCTCTGTTAGTACCGTCAAAATGATAGTCAAAATGTTTTTGGAGCTAGCATTTACAAATTCTAAATGTACAGAAAACTGACTAAATCTGAATTATGAACTAGTAACAAACACTGTAATTGCTGACAATAAACCTAGAATCTCAAACTTTTTTTTTTCTTTTTGTGCTTCCAAACTATATATTATTACATCATTTTACTTGTGTTCATAAGTTTAGGTGTTATGAACAAGTTGGCAACTTTAATGTTTTTGTCTTTATAGGTTGCTTTGCCCAAAAGGCGAAAAATGGCTATTTCTCATATTCTATGGCCAATGGACAATGGTTAATTATTCAATTAAAGGTACGTTAATCTTACTAGATAATCTTTAAGCCAACACCAATATAACAGAGAACAGAAATGGAAACAAGAAATATGAATTTAGAAACTGTACTTGATGTTTTAGACCTAACCAACTATTTTCCAGGAAAGATTACGCAAGATCTTTTGTATCAAATAACTGAATTAGATTTTACGAACGTTGAGAACAAACCTGAAAAAATTGCATGGCAGTTCATTCGCAAAATTGTTCATCGTGATTACAATGCTAGATTTGTTCGTTATGACAAAATTGTGGAAAAATCATCTGCTGGTTTTCGAGAAAAGCTAGAGCAACAAAGAGGGAAACTAGTAGAACAAATTCATCCCCTTGACATTGTTGTAGCTGTGTTTATATGTTGTGATCCAATAGCTCGGCAAGATATTGTTTCACATTTATGGGAATGCCGGTTAGCAATACCTTTCATTTTACCACCTTCTTGTGATCATGAGAACACATTGTCAGCCTATATTTGGCCATTGCGGAGCCTTGAAGGGCTGTTCCGACAAGAAGATGGCGAGTTCATTGAAACGTCTATTATAGATCAACCATTTAATTGCATTGGCTTCATGAAAATCGGGGAAATTTCTGAGTGGTCCAAATCAAATCTTTTAAATTGTTTGATATGGGGGTCCGAAAAAACACATCCTTCTTTTTACCACCGAAATTGTAAAGGCTCGAAAAAAAGCAAATCGGATATAGTTGACGGACTAATTGAAATATTCTGGTATCTTCCCGGTGGTGAAGAAGCAGACGACACAGAACACTTTGTCAATCCAACACTAATTTTAAACTTGCGTGGTGATGCAATTCGTCACAAAGAACAAGTAGAACTTATTGGAAAACAGTCGTCGCTTACACTTATTTTGACAGATTTGAATCATTTTGATGAATGTGTTCAAATTGTTGAAGCGTTGTCAAGAGTTAAATCATCTGCCTTGATATTACTGGCAAACGATGAGACTGAAGGCCTAGAGAACATTATTAAAGAGCCTTTAGCTAGATTTAAATATGACACTGTTGAGGTATTGGCTATTAAAGGGAAAATGTTACCAGACGTCTTAGAAATGATGCATCAAAATATTCATTCAATAACAACTTCAAAACCTGAAATGAAAAAAAATACTCTTTCTAATTACACTCAATTATTTGCAGACAACAATTGTGATGTTGATGAAAAAAGTCAGACCTTTACAGAAGTATTTGAAATTGTAAATGATATATGTAAACAAACAGAAACCATACATGAGAGTGATCGTAAAAGAAATATTTTTCCATTGCAAGAGCTGTTTTGGAAAGAATGGGCTGAAAAGGATCGTGATTTTTGGAGGTATTATCAAATGGATGTAAAAGAGAGAAAGCAATTTGGAAATCGAAAACTTATCCAAGAAAAGTTATTTGAAATAAGAACCAAACAGTTTGAATATTTGAAAAACAACACGTTAGCCCTCCCAATGAAATTGTTCCTCCAAGCATTAGTGAAATTTTGTTCTCTTGATTATTCAAGTGTTAATGAATGTAATCGAATGAAACTCCGGGTATTTTTAAGATTCTTGAAATTATCTTTTAATAAGGTATCAAAACTCAGTGTTGCAAACTTAAACAAAGAATATTGTAAAACATTTGCAAGAATGTCTTCAACCAATAATGCAGAGCAAAAACAAAGTCTAAAAATGTCATTGATAGAAATAGAAAACAAAAAATCAAATGTTTTCTTTGGTTTAGAAAATATCTTGAGAGAAATGGGACAAATATACGAGGCCTGTGAATTTGTACATACATGTGACACTGACATCCCATTCCAAAGTGATGACCTTGTCAGCATTTCACATACAGTACTCCCAAGATATGCATGTGTTATTCTTCAAGAGGGATACTCGATCGAAATACTTGATGGTGACGCATGTTCTGTTCCACTGGTTTGGGTGAAGAAAATATTTAGTGAGTTTTCTCACATATCAGGTCAAGACAAACCGTCTAAAATTCACATTATTTCTGTCCTTGGCATCCAGAGCTCTGGTAAATCGACATTTCTGAATACTGTCTTCGGCATGCAGTTCCCAGTAAGTGCAGGGAGATGCACTAGAGGGGCATTCGTGCAAGTCGTAAAAGTACATCCGTCTGCGCATGGCATTATAAAAGAAGACCTAGATTATATTTTTGTAGTAGACACAGAGGGTCTAAAGTCAGTATTACTTTCTCCAACTGAATCAATAAAACATGATAATGAACTGTCAACATTTGCAATAGGTTCATCTCAAACGACAGTTATAAATCTAATGAGTGAAAATTCAACTTATTTGAGTGAAAATTTACCAATTGTTGTACATGCATTTTTGAGAATGTTTATGGTAAAGCTGCATCGACGATGCGTTATTGTACACCACAACATGGATAAGTCAAATAAGAATAAATTGTTAGAACAAGAAATGGTTTTACGAAATATTTTAGATAAACTTACAAGAAGGGCCTGTGAATTGGAGCAGTTGCCACGTTTGCAGTTTGAAGATATAATCCAATTTGATATTCAGAACCACACGACTTTTATTCCTAGTCTACTGGAAGGTAAACTACCAATGGCACCAATAAGTGCCTCGTACAGTAGGGAAGCATACATTACAAAGAGGAATATTTTGAATTTGATACCAACTGATATAGACAAAGATTGTATTAAATCTTCCGCTTCTTTTTCCGAAAGCTTGGGCAAACTTTGGACTGCGATAAAAAAAGATCGCTTTGTTTACGAGTATCGCAACACAAGAGAAATATGCTTGAAGCTTGAAGTAGATTTTGACTACATGGAGATTCTGCGCGAAGTATTGCATATTATTGTGGAAGAAACAAATATTTGTATATCAAAAGTACAAAATGGGAGTTCCACGCAAGGAGAAATTGTTGAAAGATTCCGCGAATTTATCGTCAAACAAAGAGAAGTTTATACAGAACAGTTGAGGGAAATGTTTATAAAACGTAAAATGTCAAGTGATTTTTTAACAAACTTAAACCAAAAATACATTGACAATTTACAGAGAGAATTCAACAAAAGTGAAAAATCATTTGAAAATCAGATCACTTTTTGTTTAAAGCAGCCAAATATTCATAAAGTACTGCTTGGCAACTTGAGTTTGTTTAGAAATTTATTTAAACAAAATGATAATAACTTTAATGTGACATGGGATCTATTTATAGAAACAGTTCTTAAAATACCTGACTATCTTTATGACGCCGTTACAGCTTTGCAATCAATATATCCCGATCGTAGAAATAAGATTGAAAAGGAAAACATTGAACGTAGTCCTCTTTTAAAGGATTATGTGGTTGATTCTGAAATTCACATCAATCATACATTTATGCCTTTAGAACAAGCTGAAATCAATGCGCTCGTGAAGAAAATGTATGAGATAAAGCATGCAACTGTAGCAAAATTCGAATCAGATTTACATGAGCTTATACAAGATATGCCAGTATATTCAGACTTGATTACCAAACAGATACTGTTAGGTATAGATACAAGTTTAAGACAAAAGCTGAAAATTGAAGACAACAGTATGCATATAAGTTTTCAGTATAAGATAGATGTCCTTATGTCCGTTGCAAAAACATATGTACGAAAGATGACACAACTTTATACCAAAGGAAGTGATATTAGAAAGGCAAAATCCGAAGTGCATTCTCTTATGTTGATTGAATTCAAACGAGAAAAAGAGGCTACAGAAGTCTTATTAGAGTTGTTAGGTAAGTCGATAGTATGTGAGTTGGATACAAAGTTAGAAATGACAGTGAATGATGCTATGATGAAATCTTGCATCAGACAGAAAATTAGGACCAAAATGTTTGCAATTGGACATTTTGTGAAACATATAAGTTTGAGTACAAATGAAAAATTAATCAAACAGTATCGGGAAAACCCAGTGTGTGCTTTTAAACAATATCTTTTCACTTTATGCAAAGATTATGTTTCTAAGGAGTTTATCCAAGACGACCTTCAGTTCTATGTCCGTTTGAGAATCAAAGATGTATGGAATGCTATTGAAAACGAATGGGAAAAGGACAGAAAACTCATAACTCAGACTGAAAAAGAAGGTATTGACCATGCAGGTAGGGTTACTTCCATAGATAACAAAACTGAAAAATACACAGGTGTTACCTTGGAAAAACTCATACAGATTATTGCTAAAGAAACGTGTCTATCTTTTGAATTTAAACATGCTGCTGTTAACAGCTTATTTCCATTTAGATCAATGAAAATCCAATCGCTCCAAATGTTTAAAGACATCGTTTCGGAAAAGATTGAAAACTTTATAGGTCAACAAGTAGAAATTCTCAGGAAAAGTATTCATGATGAGTTAGAGAGTTTATGTAAGTCATGCTCTAAAAAGTTGTTTAAGCGACTTATCGGTTGTACAAAATGCTGCGCAAAATGTAATGAAATTTGCATACTGTCAGAAAATCACGCCGATGACCATATCTATATTTTTCATAGACCAATTGCAAATGCAGATGATATTGACCATATCAACATATCTTGTGTGTTGAAACGGTTAGCACACCAATGTTTCATGAATGGTAAAAACGTTTTTGAGATATCTATGCAACAAGGACACGAAGACTTTTGTAACATTTCAGAGGAAGAAGTTATAAATGAAATAAGAAAAGTGTTAAAGATTGAAGAATATTAACTTTTCTGTCAGAACATTTAAATATTTAAAAGGGTTATAATTTTGTAAAGCAAATTGAATAATTGATGTACTTGTCAAAGCAGTCAATTATTAGTTTCAATAATTAGTTTTAACGATTGATTGCAAAAATGTTATTGTCACATAAAAATAATATTGATTAGTGATCCATTGGATATGATTGGATATTCACCTGCAGAATGACATATTGACCCAGTCTTTTTTGTTATCAAAATTGTTGACTCTTTTCGGAACAATGCATTACTTGAATTTGAATATTTTGAACTATAACATGACTTGATTAGTAAATATCTGTAAAACACATGTATTTACATTTTTTTTTCAGAACGGTTTAAGTATGATATGAATTATATATTCATATATTTAGAACTGATTTCAAAAAAAATATCAATTATTGTAGATAATGATATCAAAATATAGTTGTTTTAAATATCATTTTTGTTTTCTTGATTTTTGTTTCAAAGGATTAATGTTATTCCATTAAATTATTCATTTAGAATGACATCGTATATTTTGATTTACATTCTGTACCATCTAATGTTAAGAAATAAAAACCTTTTTTCAGACGCTAGTTGTAAAAGCAGAGATGGAATTACAAAAACTACTTACGGAGATAGGACTTATGCAGTTTTATCCCGGGAAAATGAAAAGACAAGACCTTTTTTCAATTTCTTTTCATAATATTGATAACAGTTCTAGAACAAATGAGCCAAGAAAATTATGTGAAAAATATCAACTTGAAATAAGCAGTTTCAATAGTGACAGTCGATTTTTTAAAACAATGAAGCAATCGAAGCAGAAAGATCTTTTAAATAAAGTTGAAATACGAAAACATGTTCATCCTTTAGATATATCTACATTATTATTTATATGTTGCGATGATGTTGGTAGGCAGGATTTAGTCAGACATTTTTGGGCTTGTGAACATGCGTTTCCGTTCGTAGTTGAAGTTCAGCAAATAAATAGCTCACGTCATAGCAGACAAGTGAATATGTTTGCATGGAGTATGAGAGGCATTGTTGGACAAATTGAAGATAAAACACGTTCCATCACACAAATGGCATTTAGAGTTGTTTCTTGTTTCCGGGTAAGCCAGTCTAAAAACAGCTCAAAGTCATTTATATTTAACAGTATTATAAACAAGGTGGTAAATGGTGCGTCTATCTTTTATCATAGAGATTGTATTGGAAGCGTTAAAGAAAGAAGCGAAGTTGTATGCGGTATGATAGAAGCTTTTCCGTATATGAATACTGGTCAAGGAAGTTTTCCAACACTTTATCTGAATCTACGTGGAAATGCATTCGAATTAAAAAAACAACGGTCTTTCTTAAGTCAGGTTTCGCACGTGTTAGTCATATTTTGCAAATTTTCGGAATGCAATGATGCTTTACAATGTGTCACAGAAGCTTGTCTCATTGAAGAAAAAAGTGTTTTCATTATTATCAGTGACGATGATAGTGAGTCTCACAGCACAAAAAGAATTTCAGAAGCCTGGCCAGGCGTTACATTCCTATCAAAACAAGATATGCAAGTTCCGGAAATCGCTGAAAATGTATCACAGAGAGTTGATAACTTAAATCAATCTATGTCTTTAGACAATATTGTTGAAATAGCACACAATAATGCCATATACATCGATGAAAAAGGACATGATATGAGTAAAATTATTGAAATGTCTCAATATGTTTCTAAGATGGTATTGAAACGCTATGAGTTCAGATCAAGCAATTACATTTTCCCAGTACAAGGAGAGTATTATTTGCAATGGGCAGAGGCAGATAAAGAAATTTATAAACTCAGAAAGTATAAAATGAATAAGGACATGAAAATACAGGAATATCGAGAACAACTTAGAATTATAAAGCGACGGTCTCGTAAGGAGCAGTTTGAAATGTTATCAAACTTCAAGTCAGGAAAATGTTTTATTATGGACTTAATTAATGAGGAAAAGGCGTTTGACACAGTAAGTCCGGTTTATGTTCGATGTCTTAAGTTAAGCTTAGATGATATGTGTAGGACAAATATTTGTAGACTTTTCTCGAAGTACAAGTCCTTTTTCTATGAAATGAGACTACAAGGAAAGGATCCACCTGATTATGAAAACAAACTTAAAGAATTAGATGCTGAATTAAACTTGGCATCTTTATCGGTTTCTATAATCGTGCGCGAATTAGGACAAATCTATGAGTCTATGATAAGTCAAGGGACACCTAATACTAACCTTATGTGGCATCTATGCAAAAACTTCCCAAAGGTTGCTGTTTTTTTATTACTAGAAGGTTATGCAATAGAAGTAATGGATGGTAGGTCCTTCTCTGTACCTTTTATATGGATTCAAGCCGTTTTGATGGAACTCAAAAATCATCTTGGGAATGTAAAAATCAAAGTTGTATCTGTGTTAGGTATGCAAAACACAGGCAAATCAACTTTGCTTAATACAATGTTTAGTTGTCAATTTCCTACTGGATTAGGGAGGTGTACACGAGGCGTGCAAATTAGTCTCGTTAAAGTATCTAAAAGTGCAACTGAACCCCTTTTGGTTCGATACTTTCTTGTCATAGATACTGAAGGCATCTTGAGTGCCTCTATGCCGGCAACGTTGAAAAATCAGGCTGAAAGTGAATTAGCAACATTTGCTCTTGGTGTGGCAAACACGACACTCATAAATGTCCAAGGTGAAGATGTGTCCTATCTTCAGAATATCCTTCCTATATCGGTGTTTGCATTTGTTAGAATGGATCAAGTTGGAATACAGCCCAAATGTAAACTTATTCGCCATAACGTTGATCGTAAGCACAAAACAGATTTAAGTCATCAGTCTCATATTTTGCAACAAAGACTAGACGATTTTACAGAAGAT